CCTTGCACTATACTCCTTCAAATAGTTTTCTTAAAACACCGTTATTGTTGTGAACCCCCCGAATCACGGCCAGTCCGGCACATTGATTCATGGAATGAGGACTTGACATGGAAGGTGACACCATGCAGCATAACTCATGTGACATCAGACACTTCAACTTTTTTTTGTTTTTAAAGCTGTGTCACAGCAATTTTAGTGTTGTTATTTCAGAAAATTATGTTCTTAGCAGTGACCCTTATTAAACAAGTGTCTGACCTCCATTTATAATGACGCCTCTCAAGATATCAGATCAGTTGTTTTAAAGAGGCTCTTTAACGCAATTTATGTCAGTAATATATTGCACATTACATAGTGCCTATTGCTATTGCAAGTCGATTTTACATATGACTTCTGTTTGACTTACAATTTGGCCAGTTTTATTTTTTATTCTTTTACACATGAACTGCTGTGAAGTCAAAAATGGAACAGACTTTACCTCATAAAAATCACAGTGTGTGTGTGTGACAATCTAAATCAATCAAACAATGTCCAGTCGTGTTCTCACACTATTCCTGTCACCAGGTTAAATCCTGGACAGTACACTGTTAGTTCGCTCTGGTGTTATTGCTGCCATAACCAATAGCAAAATGATCACATCACTGGGAATCAGGCTGTGAAGAATTCCCAGCAGTCTCCCTGTAAATTGCACAAAAAAAAGTATTCAATTTGAGACTTCACCATGTGATATTTACATTGATGTTGAACTGATTTAGGTTTTTCATCTTTTAACCAATAATATTCATAAACACAGATGAGAATCCATTGCATTGGCATATCTTGTATTATGTGTTCATGACAATAATTGTAATACAGCATAATTAATTTATAAAATGCACACCATTAAACTTTTGTTAAGGACATCTTGAAGTCAGTTCATAAAAATATACAGTGGGGTACAAAACACTGAGACTAAGAATAAGAGAGGTTCATTCTTACATTTAACGCTAAATTTAATTTAAAAAAAGAAAAACAAAGAAACAATATGACAAACCAAACAACAAATATTTACGACAATCCGATATTTTTATTAATTTTTGAATTTAACTTTTGACTCAAATTACTTCCATAATTATAAACTGAATTAGAAAACAGTTAAATAAAAGTATTTTACTAGTGATCTCAGACTTACAATGGTCAAAACCCTTGGTGTTAACCATGTTGTAGCATGCAAATAATATTAAATAGTGTGCAAAGACCTTCTTCAGCGTAGGCTTTTTATCTTTCAACCAATAATATTCATAAACACAGAAAAGAATCCAAGGCACTGTCATATCTTGTATTACGTATTCGTGACAATTAAAGCATAATTTTCCTATTCTTTCCATTACATTGACTGTGCTCTGTGCACCTGCTTGAACTCTTGTTTGTTTAAATATTCAGGCCAACCACAACTTTTGTATAGCTCAGACTGCTATAAAACAAGAGAAATGAGCTGAGAAATCTCAGCAGCAGTGCCAGCTTATCTGAAGGACCCTTGGAACCGTATTGTGATACCCCTCCTTGCTGAGGCAGTTTCCCTCAACCTGCCACAGTGTGTCGGCCCTTATATAGAGAGCAGACATTAGGTAAACGCAAGGTAGACATAAGGTAAACTGAAAACAGGCACTTTTCAGTCAACAGCGGTATTCATAACTGCGATATGCCTCTCTGCACTGGCACTGGGAACACCCGCTGTAGGATTGTGTGCGTAACTGTTTTATACAGACAAGGAGGTGGTAGAATTTACAATGCACCGTCATAAGCAGCTGTTAGAACAAAAAGAAACTGCAGGCAGTGTGGTATTGGAGGTATTTGTATTACTTGATTACTTTTTAGGTCAGAGATCCTCTGCAAAACAAAATCACATGCCAAGTCTGCTTGTGTTCTTATTAGATCAAGCCTTATCAATGTACACTGTGTTCTCAAGCTTTTCTTCAAATTGCTTTATCAGCTTAGGAGAGACATAAATCTTATTTGTTTCTCTAGTTCTTTTTATTCAATGCATTTTCACCACAAAACTATGTTCCTCCATCAAAGTGACCATGTAAAACTTTTCAACCATGTTTTGTGAAAGGCAGTAAAATGCTTTCTGTCCAATGGTGAACTCTCTCTAAAAAAAAACACTTTTGACATTTGTCTGAATCAGCTGTCAACCACTGAATCAGTGTATAACTGGGTCAGCAGATAGCAGGCTTATCGCTTTTCACCTATACCAAACATAGTGTTCAGCTTGTTTCAAAACTGTCTGCATACTGGATATTAAGTTCACATGTGATTGTCTTTTATTAAAGGTTTCCCATATTAGCTCAGAGGGGATTGCCTCTCATCTTAGGATACAGGAGCATCATGTAGTTGTAACAAAGTCCACTGCAGGCAAGCTTACTGAACCCATGTGCAGCTTTTATTTAAAAGGCTTGAACTATACAAATAAAAACAATACTTGACTTGATACCAAACCATGAAATAAACTTGAACATGAACACAGACAAAGACTCACAAGCAGTAGTTGCACAAAACAAAGCTATACAATGGAAAATGAAACATGAGGGCCATATATATATATATATATATCTCAAACAAATGGGGTCACATGACACAATCCATCCAATGACAGAGATGAGCTGAGGAACATGAACCAAAGAGAAGGCAGGACAAAAGACCACATGACAAAACAATAAATCAATGAAAACATGACACAAGGAACAGGGAATCACATGACTAACAGAGGACATGACTGTGGCAAAACTACAAAATAAAAGTTTGTTATGATGCAAATTTACAGAGACAGACTCATTATTATATATTTTACAACTAGCAGGTGCCTTTAAATATTTAGTTGTCGATGCTTTCTCCACAGGATCATTGCACAGTTATGGACGTGGATGTTGTTTACTTTTGTGGCTTGGAAAGTAAAGACCATCCATTCATTCTTTTTTTCTAATTACAGAGATATGTTTCTTGCCAACACTTCCCCTCTGAACCTCCAAACACGCACACAGAGACACACACACCGAGACACACGCACACACAAAGGTATACACATCTACATGATTTTACATTGAATTTAAAAAAAAGTCCATCAGTAGAGGAATGACCTAATCTTATTCCTTGCCAATAGCCTGAAACACAACTAGTGCTTGAACGCCGACTTTTTGGCAAAACTCCTCCAGACCAAACAAGGAGTGCTAGACAATCTGGGTTTAAAACTCAGCAAGGGGTGGGGAGGGGGATATGGTACCTTTCCAGAAAACCCCCTTGGTTCCTTTACAAAATTTTGACACAAACTGCCATAATGTTTGTATAATATGCAAGAATCTAACAATCTAACGGGCAGTTGCGTACAGGCAACAACCCACGAATGCAAGTGACCATATGGAGTGATACCTTTGAAGAAGAAACACTATCATAAAAAATGACTGTCAACAAATGACTGTCAAGATTCAGGAACATTTTAAGCTAGTGAACGACATTTACAGCACCTTTAGCGTAATGTGTGACTCATACTTCTATTGTCAAATCTTCTGGACATCATTCATCCTAAAAGACTGTTTGAAGTACATTACAATTTATTGCCTATTAAGAAGAGAAACAACTTAATTATGAAAAGGCCATTTATGTATTGGTCCCTCTTGTAAGCCTCCATTCTCAGAGGTCACACTGAACCGTTAAGGATGCACCATTATATCAAAAGTCTTCATGATTTAGCCATCAACATTCCAGTTGGATCTAAAAGTTTTGGGGCTACATGGGTTATTAAAATCTGTGTTGTCAACCTTCAATAATGTGTTCCAACACACACCCATTCAGTGTTTTTCCATCACATACATGATCTTCATGTGAGCAGAGGCCGGGCGGTAGCGTGAGGAACGACGGGAGGGTTAGAGTGAGCAGAGGCGGGTGGGCTTGAGAACGGCGCGGCCGGCGATTTCGATGAAGGAGCGTCTGGAAGGACATGTGACGACTCCGGGCTGGACTCCGCTTCGTCCACGGTGAAAGCCGATCCGGCGATCGACAATGCAAAGTTGTAGTATTTCCTCAGCAACCAGCACGGATCAGCTCCAGGCATGACGAAGCAGATATCGTCCTCTTTTGGAAGAACAAACAAAGTAGTTTCGCTTTCACAACGACGCACACAGCATCTTTACGGCATGGCGGCGGAAACAACAAAACTACAGCGAGAATAAAATTTACGGCTTCTTTCTTTGCGTGAACATTTGGGCGGCGTTATGCAAATCTTCCCACATAGCGATGTAGATATGTGGGGGCGTGTTAGAACGAACCGTTTTAGGTAGGCATGGCTGACTCTTAACTTTTATAAAGAATATCTCTTTGGATTTGAGACTTTAGACTTTGCAACTTTACAGATCTTCTTTATGCACCAAGAGCTTGTATCATTCCAAAGAGAAAGGAAAAATTTAAATCGCATCATATGACCCCTTTAAACCTCAGAGGTGAGCACTCTTCCTTCTTGAATGATTGAATGATGGGTCCGGTCCTTAATTGTTACTTACACCCCCGTAGCTGAAAACAATATATCATGTAATAACCTTATCTGGAGTGATTTCTTACTGCTTTTGATTGGATAAAAAAGAAACACTCTCCATGAGAATATCTGGCAGACGTTTCTCTTGGTGAGGTAGATGTTAAGAGAGAGAGAGAGCTCTCTCCCTATCCTCAAATATCTCAAATGTCTTTATTTTTTGGCCAATGCTTTGACTCATGTTGGCAGAGGTGACCCAAATAAATGCACTAACACCAGTCATTTAGGGGGGCTAGGGGTGGGGTTAGAAAAAAAAAACAATGTACAAGACCCAAGTGTGCTAGTTTCCCTTATTACGTAGTGTTCGTCCATCCTGACTTTCTTTTTTCTCTCTTTCATACTGACCCCTTATCCTTCTTGTTGAAGACATGGGTGTGCAATGATTTGCTTTTGGGGGATAAAACCCACAGTTTGGGAGTGGAGAGGGATATTACAGAGCAGCATGGCCTGGAGTAAAGTACCTCTACTCTTGCATGGATTTCTCCTGCTGGTTCAGTGTAAACCCTCCCTGCAAGGAGGTAAGGTCTCTCCAAACTCATTTGGCTTTTCTTTCTTATTGCATTTCAGGTGTATTGCAGTTTTGGCAATAGCATCACACTCTTTTAAAATTAGTAGCACACTGCTGACACTGTATGCACTTAAGTTGTACTTTGTTGTCTATATTCTGAATGTTCTAGGTACAGGTAAAGGATGGATGAATAAAAAAAGTAAGCAAGTTGAATTAAAAGTGCTGTACTGAGGAAATGCTGTGTGCATTGTTGCAGGATGGTTTATTGTGTAATGAAATTTGAATCAGGTCTTGTTTCTGCATGATTTTTAAATCGTAATACTTTATTTTTGGATAAAACTAAATATTAGCGAAGTATGTAACATATCAGTGAAACATGATGCATTTGCATTTGGTTAAAGTTTTCAATGTAATTTTAAGTTTAATTTGATATAATCACAAATAGTACTCTATAAATCCAGGTGGATTTTTATTTTTTAAAAATGTAAAAAAAAAAATTAAGGATTTGAAGTCACTGTTTATGTTTATGGATATGGTTTCCACTTGTCATTTTTTATTCAGGTAAAAGGAAAGGTCTGAGAAATTCTAATCCAGATCATTACATCATATACTAACAACCTACAAGCTTTTCCCAGTGGGTTTGTAGAACAGACTAGTTCTAAGCTCTTGTAAAAGGTCACGTATAGGATGTTGTTCTTCATATGAATCACATCCATTATCTGTTCCCTTAGTCTCCACCTTAAACAGCAAGGCAAGAGGACACATAAACTCATGTGGTAATGCATTCGGTGCTGTTTGAGGCTTCACATGAAAGACTAGATGCAAGATTAGTTAGAACCCCCTGGGAATGTGGCATCATCACTGAGTAAAGCACAAGAATGGTCCTCATAAACTGGTAATGTGTTGCAGGAGTTAGATCATAATATGCATCAGCTGACATTTTAAATGAAAAAAAAAGTATGGGTTTGCAGTGCAAACAGTGATGTTCACAGCTTTTCAGCAGATGTGATAATATGTAATAACGTTTTAGAGAATATTCTCTTTATTCTCCTCATATCAATTTCAGATTTCTCAAATACTTACAAAAACTAAAGGTTTCCTTATTTCTTTATCCTGCACAGGACATAAGGAATTTACTACTGTTCACTTTCTCTCTCAGGAATCTACATACCAGCTGGTGCAGGGGGAGGAACTGGAGGTGGATTAGGGGGTGGTCTTGGTACTGGAGCTGGATTTGGTGCTGGAACCGGTCCAGGAGGTGGATTTGGTGCTGGAATCAGAAGTGTTGGGCCGGGAGTTGGTCCTGGAGGAGTTGGAACAGGATTAGGTCCAGGTGCTGGTCCTGGTGGTCTTGGAATAGGGCCAGGAACTGGCATAAGACCTGGAACTGGTGAGAGTTTACATTTATTCTTAAACATTTCATGTGCAATTAGTGTCCATAGCTTCAAAATCAGTGCTATAACAATCTTTAATAAATTAGCAACTAATAAAGAATATTGCATTGTAATATAATAATTTGTAATATTTCATATTTTTCATGACCAGGAGTTGGTGTAATACCTGGTAAGTGGCTAAATGTCTCTTAATTAGTCATTTTAAGTTTGATTAAATTAATATTTACTTGTCCAACTTGGAACAGGTTATGGAGGTGGTGGTCCTGGGGGGCAAGGTACTGGACTGGGTGGTGGAGGCCTTGGAGGAGTTGGGCCTGGTGTTGGAGGTCTTGGGGGAGTTGGACCTGGTGTTGGAGGGCTTGGTACAGGAGGACTTGGTACTGGTGGATTAGGCGCCGGAGGCCTCAGAACAGGTTGATGAATTTTCCTTTACATATTATGGTACTGTAACGCCCCCTTCCTGCCACTGGGAATTTTAAGGGTGACGCCCTGGCAACCCTTTACGGACATCTTGGCAATTGAATCGCCATTGGCTAGTACATTTTTTTGTTTACTCGCCAGAATGAAATACTATACTTATATATATATATATATAAAACCATGAACTTAGGACTGGTGCTGGTGCTTTTTTTGGTCATTCAGTGTTCTTGTAAAAATAAAAACAATAATACTGATAAGATATTATTATTATTATTATTATTATAAGAATTCTACTAATAAGAACAATATAAAGCGCACCAAGGATTAACAAGTTTCTGGATTCATGAATATTAATCAGGTTGTGTGCGTTCGCTCGAACTGATTTGCTGAAATCTAAACAGGGACGATAATAGGTGAGCACCAGCCAATGAGATTGTCGTTTGCGCATTAGTTCCGCCCACTACCGGAAAACCTAGCATTTCTTAAAAGCTGAAGAATTCCAAAGAAACTCCTTTATTTTGACAGGAAAATAAAACAGAATATTGTTTACACGTATCACATCAATTCTGCATGTTATGTAAGACTCTCTCGCTCTCGCTCTCACTTTGCGCGTGTGAGAGAAAGCGACAGTGAGTCGTGCGTCTTCACACTAGAGTTTACGCTACGCCAAATACACAAACACAGGTGCGCTGCGCATTTATTGAGATGAAATGATAAATAGCACAGATCGCTTGACGGAGAGTGAAACTCTGAAGCGCTCAGTCAGAGTGTTTGGCGAGTGAAAATACATCTGTGCTAAACTTATACTCAGCATCCAACTCATACACTGGCGAGTAAAATCTAAGAATTTATTAGCCATTGGCTAATACTAGACATAATTTAGTCGCCCAGAGTGAAGATTTAGTCGCATATGCGAGTGATTTACTCGCAATGTAGAGGGTTGCCAGGTTCTTCTATATAATGGGCTTAATTTGTTTAAATTCGTGCCTATCTATTTCACACCTTTATCACAAAATATCAGGAAAAATTAAATACAACATACCACAAAGACAAAAAGTTAATGCAAATTGTAATTTACTTGAGTGAAATTAATTTGTTGTCCATAAATTTTTTTTATTTTATTTTGTGTTACAGTGGTAGTCTTTTCAATAAAGTTTCTATCAAACCACAAGCGTGTAATCCATTTCTATCAAATGAGCGCTATGTGTAAAATCAACAGTCAGCAATATGAAAGAAACAAAACCAAGAACTGTCACAAATCAATGAAATATATAACACTCTAAGCCGGCAAATACTACGTAAAATACTTTGAGGCCAAAAACGCAGGGCCACTTCACTCACTTGAGCCACAACAAAATAAAACTGAAAGCAGGTACCTGTGTTTACGATATCAGTCGTTTAAATCAGGATCATACACAGTCACAGTCTGTTGGTTTCCTAATCGGAATCCATCCCCCCGAAGCACATTCGGCAGAGGTCAACGTCAATCCAATCCTCCAGGCAGCGCGGGCGCTGCCTAACTTGACGATGCCCTGCCGAACTTAGAATCCTCTCACTCTGGGTCAGCAGTAGACAGCAATTCAGTCACCACGGTTCACGTCCGTTATCGTTCTCCTTATCACTTTCCTTGCCGATGATCGCGACCATAAACAGTTAACACGAGATGCATTGGCTCGCCACCAATAGTTCTCCAGTAATGTCTGTGACGCATTTTAAATTAATCGGGAACCTTCGTAGTCCCGCTTAGCCAGCAGTAGGCCTAACTCAACAGTAGCAGTTACTCAAAGGTCCACTCTAATGTCCTTGAGATGGACTACCATGCACATATTTCTAACGAAAAACACATATACAGGGAGATATCTAGCCGACATCTCCCTTCTCTCACTCGTACTATCTTCTACTGCTCCTTCTCTGTCCGTTCTCCCATCTTGTGCCACCCCTCCTTCATATCCTGATACCTGGTAGGTTATTATTCACAAAGTACCCAATCCCATTATAAAGAAAATAAAAATGACAGACCCAGCAGTTTAGGTTATCTCCAAGCACATTTTTCTACAGTACATTTTAACCTAACTTTATACAGTTTTACAACTTTATCTAAATCAGAAACCCATAATAGATTCCCACATGGGCTACAGTACAATAATGTACCATAAAATGTATTTAACATAATTAATATTTTGTAATTACATATCTAACTATTTAGGGGCATGCTATTGAGGCACAAAAATGATTTCATGAATTTGATCTTTTTCACAGGGTCATTCATCAAGCCACCTAAAACAGGTGTGATGTAACGCATGCTAAAAGTTGGGGTTGATTTTAATAATAAAGATTGGCAGAGACATTGCCTTTACATCAGATGAGAAATTCATTGTGTCAACACAGGAGGATATGGAGGTCTACCAGGAATTGGACCAGGTGGTACAGGTGTGGGTCCTGGATCACTTGCACCTGGAGTAGTTGGTCCTTCTGGGATTGGTCCAGGAGGCATTGGACCGGGCGGAATAGGACCTGGTGGCATTGGACCAGGAAGTGTCGGACCTGGAGGGATTGGTGCTGGTGCTGGAACTGGAGGCCTTGGAGCAGGTAATATTTCTCAGAATGTAATTTTACTAATAAGCAATCAAACTTATCTGAACTGTTGCCTATAAGGTTCTGCTAGTCTTTGTTGGGGATTGTAGAATAACTCAGTGTAGCTGAGCCAAATAAATACTGGAAACTTCTCTTTTGTTGGTAGGGTGGTAGATATTTAAATGGTTAATAGATTGAGACCGATCTCAAGCACTTTTTTATGTCACCTTTTTTATTCTATCTGTAGGTGCTGGTGGCAAACCTCCTAAACCAGGTGAGTGGGAGAAAACTGCATTCAATAAAGTGTTCACATACAGTACATCTGCAATTCCAATTACATACATTAAGTTAAGCAAATAATGTATTGGTTTGATTAAGGTTTGCATGAGTCTTGCTTCACACAAACAGGTTATGGGGGTATTCCAGGCACTCTTGGAACCGGAGGTCTTGGTGGTCTTGGACTCAGGCCAGGGGGTTCTGGCCTTGGAGGTTTAGTACCTGGTGGCTTTGGTGTTGGCCCTGGAGTTAGTGGCATTGGCACATGGGTACCTAGACAAGGTAGAGATACTCAATCGTTTCAAAGTTAAGCAATCTTTTATGGTGATGTTTCTTACAACAGAGAATTCTATAATTTTTTTTGTCAGGTGTGGGCACTGGTGTGGGAGGGTTTGGCCCTGGTGGAGTTGGTCCAGTAGGTGCTGGAAGAGGTTAGAAAGTTAATAAAATGGAATGTTAGTAATTATATATGGATATTTAAAAGCTTAATCCTAAATATAATAGGTTTTGTTTAGTACCATTCTTTTTTCCCTTTCCTGCTTCTAGGTGTGGGAGGAAAACCACCAAAAACAGGTAGGCAATCTATAAGACCCACTTTCATCTTCACTGAGAAATTTAAGGTAGCTTCACACACACACACACACACACACACACATTATTTTCAGGTTATGGAGGTCTTGGTGGTTATGGCCCAGGAGGTGTCAGCACTGGAGGTATAGGACCTGGTGGCATTGTTCCTGGTGGAGTTGGACCAGGTAGCGTCAGGCCAGGTGGCATTGTCCCTGGTGGCACTGGACCTGGTGGCATTGTCCCTGGTGGCATTGGACCAGGTGGCATTCTCCCAGGTAGCACTCTCCCAGGTAGCATTGGACAAGGTGGCATTGTCCCTGGTGGTGCTGGACCAGGTGTCTTGAGTCTTGGTAAGACATCTTTTTAATCAACAGTAGACACAACAACAGTTTTTTTATTAATACCTTTGTGATTCTGTTCATAGCACTATTTAATAAAAATAAACAAAACAATTTTGCTTTGTCACAGGAGCAGGCAGAAAACCTGGGAAACCAGGTATGATGTGAATTAAAAAGTATTCTGCAACAAAAAAAGTGTGCACTCATACTTAAAATCCATATGTTGTTTTTGCTGTGAACATCACTATTTCTTATTAATTCTTATAGCTATATCAGTCATAAAACAGTGTATTGTCAGTCGTTTCAAAATGCATTTAGCTCAGATGGTCTAAATTTAGGTTATGGTGTGCCTGGGGGTTTTGGTGGTGGACCATTTGGAACAGGAAGTCTTGGAGCAGGTGCTATTCCACTTACACCTGGAGGTGCTGGAACAGGCTACCCATCAGGTGGTAAGAATATACTTCCTTTCCTCATATGTTGTAGACATGAAATAATAACATAAACAATAAAAAAGAAATACATTTAAAGATGACCAGGGGAAAGTGTTAATATTTTGAGGGGGTTAAATTAAAAAGGAATATTATCTGCTGCTTAAAAATGGAATTTGTTTTTAGGTAGCTATAGTGGATATGGTGGGCCTGGAGGTCTTTATCCTGGAGCTGGAACAACTGGTCAGAAACCACCAAAACCAGGTAAAGCTAGATCTATGGACATGACCACTGGCTTAAATAAAGGTGTGATATTTGATTACTTTGTAACTTGTAGAATGAAACAAATCTTTATAAAATTGTCACTATTTTATATCACAGAAAAAAAATCACTTTTTAAAAAACGAATAAATAAAATGTATTTAAACTGCACTAAAAACATGTTGTATTTGATCCTTGTGTAATAGGAATTGGACCTGGAGGTGCAGGAATTGGACCAGGTGGCACAGGAATTGGACCAGGTGGTGCAGGAATCAGTCCAGGTGGCACAGGAATTGGACCAGGTGGAGCTGGAGTTGGGCCTGGAGGTGTAGGAATTGGAACTGGTGGCACTGGAACTGGAATTGGAGGAGCAGGAGTTGCGCCTGGTGGAGGTAGGTTTTGAGGGCCATGACTCTTAAGCTACTACTGTTTGCAGTTGCTTGCAAATTTTCACCTTTGCAACTTTTCAATTCATTATGGCTCCCAGCATCAAACTGGTTTACCAGGAACTGGAACTGGGACAAGCGCTGGGGGCAAAGTCGGAAAGACTGGGAATGCACCAGTGCCAGGTAACTCCGTCTACTGATGGAGCTCCCCTTTTGTTGAAATAGTTTTATCAAATCTTTGACAAGAAAGCATTGTTTTATATTTTCTCTTTCTGCAAACAAACAAGGTGTTGGGATTTGACAGTTACAAGATTTTCCACTGTTTCTAGAATATTCATACACATATGACATCTACATTTTTGTTTTTATATGTAGGTTTTGGCGGTAGAGGCATTCTGCCAGGTGTAGCAACGGGATCTCAAACTGGTAAGCTTTATGTGGTTTATAGTTTCATAATTGATAGCTTTATCCAGCAATTAAAATGTTTTCTGAGGCTCTGGCTTCGATTTTGTTGTTTATAGGGCTGCTTGGTCAAGGTGCACTTGGAGCTAATGGTAAAATTAATTACTGAGAGAACAGTTCTTTCAATAAAAGGTATCAAAACTACTTCTAACAGAGCTCACTTGTCTTTTCTTTAGCAGGAGGCCGCGGAGGATTTGGTCAACAAATACCAGGCGTGTTCCGTGGATATCCTCTTATATCACCAAAGTCTGGAGGTAGTATGCATGTTTTTATCCATTGTTGTTATTTACATTTGAGATCAACTAACATAAATTATACTTGTCAGCCAATTAAATTAGCTTCTCATTATTTAAAATCAATTTATTTGCTTTATGAGTTTAGAGTTTTAGAGTATTTATGGAAATGTACTTTCTTACTTCATTTAAGGTACATGTGCAGCAAAATCTCAGGCTAAAGCTGCCAAGTACGGTAAGTCATGCAGGAAAATAATGTAAGACTTTCTTAGGAACAAGAATTTCAATATATGTCTAAACAACATGCTTGATATTGCTGACTCTCCTTGCAGGGGCTGGTGGTGTTCCTGGTATCGGTGGTGGACTTGGTGTAGGAGGTATACCAGGTGCAGGGGGTGTTCCAAGCATAGGTGGCATACTTGGTGCAGGTGGTGTGCCAGGCATAAATGGCATTCCTGGTGCAGGAGGTGTGCCAGGAATAGGAGCTGTTCCAGGTGTTGGAGTAATTCCTGGAGCTGGCGGTGCAACTCCTGGTGTCCTTTATCCAGGAGCTGGTGGTACCTATCCTAGGGGTAAATTTATGATTTATTACAAACTGAGAAATATTTAAGGATTATCTAAAACACTGAAATGTACTCAAGTCTTATAATATCCATGGATTGTCTCTCATTAGGAACTGGGGTAAAAGCTCGAAAGTATGGTAAGAAAACTTACAGATTCATGTCATATACAATCACCTGGCTGACAACTGTCTCTTTCATGGAAAAATTATAGGTGTAAAGAAATGATGGTAGGTATCAGGGGGAATCCAAATCTTAAATATTAAGCCTTTTAAAATCAGTTAAAGTAGAAAAAGACAAATTAAACATGAAAAAAGCTTATTTTTCCGGATTGAAGTTTATCATGCAGCATATTTAAAAACGGAGGTTCGTCTTCATTTCTATGCAATTTTGGGTTTTTTATTTTCTAGTTTCAGGGATAGGAACTGGTGGACTTCCTGGTTCTGGTTTTGGAGTGGGTGGTCTTGGAGCGGGAGGACTTCCTGGTTCTGGTTTGGGAGTGGGTGGTCTTGGAGCTGGAGGACTTCCTGGTTATGGTTTGGGAGTGGGTGGCCTTGGCACTGGTGGAATCACTGGACTTGGTCCTGAAGGTATCTAGAAAAAAATAATTTTAGTTTTAAAATTACCTCGTTTTGTTGTTGAAAGTTATTATCATTAACAGCATGATTATCTACTTTTCTGACATATTTTAGGATATGCTGCAGCCAAAGCAAGAAAATATGGTACAACTTTACATTTTGCATTGTAGCGTCTCGACCAATCTGACACACTAATTTTAATTTGATTTAACAAATCAATTATTCATTAGGTTAACAAATCGTCACAGTCCCCTCACTCAATAAACTGGATGCCAGGATATCTGCTGAACACCAGGCCCTCTGGTCACCGTGACAACTAATCATGATATCACTGGTTTTATGACCCCCCAGGAATGTGAGAAGGATAGCCCACTCTTGTCCCAAGGAAAAGCAGAGTAGAAATGGACTGTGTTCTAGTTAATCCATAGAAAAAACGTTATTTGAATGAACACACATATTTCTTCAGGCCATTGAGTATATTATTGTCATTGTGTATTTTGTCTTTGATATTCTTAGACTATTTTAGTATGCTTGTGAGGGGACCCATTCCTGATCCTCCCTTTTCACTATATGTAATCTTACCTTGTTTAGTATCTATGAATTTGCCTTCTTATGATCGAAACAAGCGTGTATATTATATATTGGTACATAGGCAATATATATTAGGGCCCTGAGAATCGTTAATAATTTCGATTTAAGTCCATTTGCAAATTACCATGCTTAGAGAACAAAGGATCGTAAACCCTCCAGCAATTGCCACCTCCCGCTCGGAAATTCCATTCTGCTCATTGGACAAGCCCATCTTGAAAGGCGGAGATCTTCTCCGACCTTAAAGGCCCGGCTCCAGGGACCCGCCCCAGTCGGTGATTCAGTCAGAAGCAAAGATGATGTGAGAAAAACGCTTCAGGATACAAAGCATCTGTGCCAGGCCTTTCTTCGGCCTAGTCCTTTCCATTCATCAAGTAACACTGACTCAAACTGGTTCTTCTCATCGACCCGAATTCAGCAAAGATCTACGGGAAGCTTTAAGATTTGCATCAGGAATCTCTTTCAGACCGCCGAGACTCGCTAAGTATCAAACTTAGTCTTATTAATTGATACATTAAGTATCAGTTACACCTTTTTACAAAGGTGTGTTTGAACTCAGAATCTGACGTATCCCTGAAGGCTTTGATCTGTTGAATATACATGCAAAGTGTTCCATAAAATCCATTCTTTATGCCTCTTTCTATGCTGAGTTAAACTTTAACCCTTTCCTATACCAACTGTATGTGTGTGTGTGTGTATGTGTATGTTAGACCGGCTTAATGTGTTTATGTAGTATGTTAGACTAGTTTAAGTGTTTATGTAGTTAATAAAACCTTACTTGTATCACACTTGACGTGTTCATTGTTTACTCATAACCGGAGTCAATAATCATGCAGATTTACGTTACAAACTTATAGAATTGTACAGTAAGAAGGTTATTTCCTTTAACCAGGAAATTAACGTTCTTAGAATTGACAAGACGGTTGACCCTGAGTGGTCAGCTAAATATCTACAGTGGATCTAAAATATGAATAGTTAATTATAACTAGTTATGGTTAATTATTCATATTTCCTGTCGTTGAGCTAAATTCGCTACAGCATTTTACAATGAAATAGATTTTGGTAACGGCAAATCAACAGTAATGTCATTATAATAGTCTTCGCTGTGTCCATAAATACACATTTTTGCACAGGGGTAGCCAACCCTGCTAATGGAGAGTTACAGTACCGTAGCGCTAACCCTAATCAAACACACCTAAACCAAGATGCTGAGGATTACTTGACAATTGCAGGAAGGTGTGTTTGAACAGGGGTTTTTTTTATATTTTGAGTTTTGTCAAAATTCCATATTTAATTTTTGGCTCTGTTATTTGGCTCTTTTTAAGTTCAAAAGAAATATAATTTTAACATGCCTCTTTATGATTTAGTGTATGTTGTATACCCAACGTCTGGGTTCCTCAACTAGTGTCCCACAAGCCAAATGCAATCCTTATCATTTTTACATAAAATCACAGTGTGATTTATCACTGTGCTCAGATTTTATGATTTTATTTTATATATAATTTGTGAAATTCTAGTCACAGTCACAGAACCTTAAGAAATGTAAGACATTGATATTCACTGATAAATCCTTTGTAGCCCATCTTGGACATCCTGGTGGGACTTTAGGTACTGGAGGAGCAGCTGCGTCTGGTGTTGGACTTGGTGGACTACCTGGTGGAGGAACTGGTGGACTTCCTGGCGGTGGTGCTGGAGGACTCCCCGTCTCTGGAATTGGTACCAAATCATACCATCATATTGTATAACAAAGTTTACAATAATGAAGTTTGGTCATATTTAATAATTAAATACGCTGATGCTTTGCAGGATATGCAGAGGCAAAAGCTCGTAAATATGGTAAAACAACCTTTAATTGAATCCTTCAACAAACTGCACTGTTAAATTAATTATGATGGTTTTATTGATTGCATTTATCATCTAAACTTTATTGTAGCTTACAACCTTAAATATTATATTTATTTTTCTAGGTCTGCTTGGTGGAGGTGCTGCTTTAGGCCAAGGCACTGGATTAGTTGCAGGTATTCCAGGTGTATTGCCAGGCACTGGTGTCGGAACAGTTGGGGCAGGGGGTATACCAGGAATTGGGGCTGGACAAGGAGGTGTCATTGGTGTGGGTTATGGTCCAGGAGGTGTACCCGGTGGTGGCCTTGGACCTGGTAGTGTTCCGGGAAGTGCATTTGGACCTGGAGGTAAATCAGTGTTTCTAATGACTTCAAACACTGGGCTGATCAAATTAGTTCAGAACCGATGAAATTTGCAACATTGACACTGTTATTGAACTGAACTGAATCAACACTGAACTGACTCAAACTGAGTAACGACACCACTGTCTTCAGTAGAGCTGCTTATAGCTGAATTTAACTTGTTTCATAATTAATGAATTTTACACAGTTACCATCACTGAACTGACTGGCGCTGAATAATGACACTATTGTCTTGCTGCAGCTGCTTTACAGAAGAATTTGGATTTGCCTAATTTTTGAAGTTTGCATCATTGATTCTGTTACTTTTCTGTTTAAAACTGTAAAGCTGCTTTGAAACAATCTCTATTATATAAAGCACTATAAAAAATAAAGGCAACTTAACTTAACATTATACCCTATTTTTACAAACTTTGCTTTAGAGTGTAGTTTTCTCTAACCCACCAACCATAGTAATGCAATGTCATAAGAAAATGATAGCTTCAACCTTTTTTGGAGTTTAATTAAACCCTGGCCAATCTGGAAACCTAAGTAGCATATCTAGCCAAGTATATCCCCAGATGACCTTTCTTTGGTTGACTAAATTTAGCCATCACATTCTTGAGCACATTCTAATGTCTCATCAGTGTTATCCAAATGGATAACTGTATCATTCAAGCACACAGCAATGTAGGTTTAGCATGGTTAGAGCAAAATGTTGTTTATCTACTGGATGTTGATTTTAAGTAGTATTTCGATAATCTGCTCTTCTTCCTCTGTAGCTCACCAATGTGTTAATGCATGACCACATTGGCCTGGCCAAGGTTTTTTGAGGTGACATCTTGAAGTTGTTGGACTAGAGTTTGTTTTTTTATCAGCAGGTGAACAGAGATAAAGATTTGGATCAGTGAAGGTCCCCATAAAAGCACAAGCTGGGCTATAAATATGTTGCTGTGCTCATATTTGAATGCTTTGTAGAAATAAGAAGTTTAAACTTTCATATAAAGAACTGTACAGAACTGTAGCTTAAACACTGCTAAATCATATTTCTCCAATATTGACTTCTTGTGTTCTAGGATACGCTGGGGCCAAAGCTCACAAATATGGTAGGGGGAAGTTAAATAATCTCCAAAGTTTAGTATCCATTTAGAAAAATACAAATTATAAATGACATTTTATCTACACATTTTGCAAAAAGGCGTTACTGGTGGAGCTGGTGGAACAGGATTGCCTGGAGGATTAGGTGGGTCACTTGGTAGTGGAACAGTGACAGGTGTTGGAACTGCTAGAGGAACATCAAGTGGAGGAATTGGACCTGGGGGGGCACCTATTGGCGGTTATGGACCAGGAGGGGCACCAATCGGTGGTTACGGACCTGGAGGGGCACCTGTGGGTGGTTATGGACCAGGAGGAGTACCTGCTGGAGGATATGGACCTGGCTCTGGAGGTATGCTGACAGACATTATATTACATATATGCAGTTCAGGCGTTCTGTGTATTTCCAGATCTACATTTATACTTTGCGTCCAATGCAGCATATCCAGGTGGACCAAAGGCCCTAAAATATGGTAGGATATTTTAAACCAATTTTTTCATAGTGTCCCCCCCCCCACACACACAATTAGGCATCAACACTTGTTAAATTATTTTAATCCATATGTAGGTCCTGGTGGTAGTGGAGGTGCTGCAGGACTTGGTCTGCAGGGTCAGGTAGGAACCGGTCCAGCAGGAGGATTTGGCATGGGGGCAGGACCAGTTGGTGGTTATGGTCCAGGGACTGTAGGAGGTCCCTGGTCTGGATTTGCTGGACCAGGACTTCCTGGTAGTGCTGTTGGAGCAGGAAGCAGAGGAGGGTTTGGGCCTGGTTATGGAACAGGTGCTGGAGGTAATTTAAACCAGTCAGAATAGGTCATTTACACAGGAATTAGAAAAGCTAGATTATTAAAACTGTACCTGATCAACTTATCTTTCAAAATTATGTTCCGATAGGATATCGTCCTGGATCAAAAGCAGCTAAATATGGCAAGTTGAAATACACTACATACACTTACATGTATATTGCAAGTGCCACTTGATCATTGATTAATACACTGTACATTCTAATTGTCAAAATTGTTACCAAATATTTTATGAATACAATTATAAATATATCAATTAATATTCATCAATGTATTTTTTCAGTTATATATTCATATTTAATGTACATTACAAATATTTTAAGAATTAAACGGTGTTTAAAATCAACTTATTATAAATTTAAGGGTAAATACAGTCAAACCAAACATTATTCAGACACCAGATATAATTTTTGATATTTTTTTTACTAGTGGGTGCAGGAAACTATAGTTCATTTATGTAAGTGAGGATAGCAAAATAAAGTAAACTGTGACATCTTATACCCAAAAAATCTTCATACAGTGGACTACCAATAAAACTGACAAAGATTTGGGACCAAAAATTATTCAGACACTTTGACCTGACCATGTTTTGCTTAATTGTTATCTGACATTATCAAGATGAATTTGTTCTGACACAGTTTAACTCTTCTCGAGTTCTTGTCATATTTTATTACCATTTTCTAAACTATAGCGAATAAACTGTGATAATGTGTTAAATGCTGAAGGTGTCTGAATAAATTTTGGTTTGACTGAATGAAATTTTTGCCTTGGAATAATACAACATTAACAGAGAATAAAACCCATACATACCTTGACAGGTTTACCCGGATCTGGAGGTGTCTTGGGAGCAGGAGGTGTACCAGGATTGGTAGGAGGTCCTAACGGTATGTGAAGCTGACATGAAGATGATTTATTTATTTTTTTTTCTGTTAAAGGGACACTCCATCAAAAAATATTACAATTCTGTCTCATGTCATTCCAAAACTACATGAGTTTCTTTCTTCAGTGAAACAGAATAAAATAAAATAATTTGAGAAATGTCTCAGTGCTGTTGATTTTTTTTGTCCATATAATGCAATTCAAATAAATAAATAAATACTTTTTAGTTTACTTTTTACTTTTTTAGTTCTCCCTGGAGGGCTTGGGACTGGTGCTGGATATGGAGGTAAAGTTTTAATTAAAGTTTTAGATAAGCAATACTAATCACTTAACTTGAAATACAGTATGTGGTCTAAGCATTGGTGGGTGAACCTGCTGATTTTTTCATGTCATTCTAAAGGGTATGGAGGAGCACAAAAACCACCTAAATATGGTAAACCACTTATGGTATTTGATTTTTATAATTAAAATGTCACATGTTTACAGGCTAAGAATTGACCGATGCATCTCCATCTAATAGGACAACCAGCTGGTGGGGTCAGAAGTGTGTTGGGTGGGTCGGTACCAGCAACTGGTGGAACTGGGGCCACAGGAACTGGAATTGGAACTGGTGATGATAACTGCTAAAAGAGGACTAAATAACACTTAATAGATACAGATAGGAATTTGTTTACATGTTCAGCGTTACATCACAGGTGGTTTAGGTGGGGCTGAAGGTACACCAGTTTCAGGAACCAAACCAGACAAATATGGTGAGTTGGTGATCTATGGTTATATCATCTAACAATCCATGTCTCCAGTGAAATATTGCTATTCCAATTTTCAATTTAAATCTGGGGTACCAGGCATCATAGGAGGAACAGCAATTCCAGGTAGTACAGGTGCTACCGGCACAGATCGTGGAGCAGGACCTAAACCTGGAGTTGATGGAGGTAATGCAATTAATTTGAAATGTAAGATACACATATCATGTATAGTGTCAATAGTGTCATAATTATCAGACTTACCTGTTCCATGTTAGTGATTGGCAGTCCTGATGGTGCAACTCATAGTGCTGGAGGTGGTCAAGTTTATTAACTTTTTACCTTTTTACTGTATTTTTTTTTAACTTTCTTTCTTTCCTTCCTTCTTTTATTTGTATTTATGTTTTTTTTTTTACATCCCATCCGATCCCATACATCTAGGATAAAACAATTGTCCTTTAGACATTGTAAGAAAAAATGAGCAGGCGTTTCCACCTTTTAGCCACCAGTTTTATTTTGTGATTATTTCAGAATCTGGCGGACCAATAGAGGGATCAGGTGGGTCTGTCGGAGGTGGTATTTTAAGTTGGATTTCCATCTTTTTAAAAGGATAGAAACTGAGCAGCATGTAATCTTTTTCAGGTGCTACTGGTGGGTCCATTGATGCTGATGGACTTGATGGGGTTGCTGGGACAGGAATACCCATTTTAGCTGGAGAAAAACCAGGTAGACCTTTCCTGTTCAGTAAGCTTGTTGACATCATGATAATCTATTGCATTTTGTCTTCTACTTTTGGTAATTTTTCTATTTGTCTGTAGCTCACATTTAATTTGCATAGAATAAAAAGTATTGCATCTTATGTGACACTCAAAAACCCAGACAAGCCTATAGACATAAAAAGTTCACCAGATTAGGTCTGTTCAGACACAATCCCTGGCCAACTGCACTTCACTGAGTGGCTGGTTGATCACAGTGCTTAAGTATCCTATTTTGGGTTATTAGCGCCTAGTTTCAAGTTTGAAGCATGGCTTAACTTGCACCATGAAATCATGCTTTTATTGTCTTAAACACTGAACAGATAAGGGAAAAGAGGAGGTACTTGATTGACTTGAAGGTGCTAGGTGCTGCCTGTCATACTTTGTTTTCCACCCTCCAATTTTATGATACTTGTATATTTTGTCAGAATATTCTTTAAAGATTTAGCTTTTTGGTCCACAGAAGAAAGAGAGTCATGCAGATTTTGGAGTAAATTGTGTCAGAACTTTATTATTATTATTATTATTATTGGCAAACTAATTCCTTAAACGAGCTCTTCATATTTATAGTGTGGAATTAATAGTATTGCCATCAGTATACTATGTAGGCTAACAGCTGTTTATTCATGAAGACCATAATTTAGCAAAACCACATATCAAATGCATATAAAAAAACATTGGATGTTCAGAATGATTTGTAATTGTTTTGTAATTGCTTATTAAGTGTTGAAAATGAATTTTTAAGAGATAGGTCTACATGTGAATACAAAATTACTAAACGAATGACCACATTTTTTTGTTCATGTTTTAGGTGTTTCTGGAACTGTACCAGGTTTGTATTTTAGCTTTTAGTTGTGCAATACTGTAAATGAACAGCCATTTATTACATCTGAAAATTCCTATTTACCTTATTGACATTCTCCATTTTTAGGTGGAACGGGGTTGCCACGACCAGAGAGTAAGATCTGTCATCGTAACCTGAAAACGGATTACTGACCTCACATGAGAAGAGATCACTGAGCTCAAGATTATGTTCACTGTTTCTTATTTTAGTAGTTGCTAGTGGTAGTTGAATTCTTCAGCAGCCTATTTACACAAAATTATCCACCTACGTCATGTTCAAAACTGGCTAATGTTACGGCTCTATCTAGTGGTGGAGGAGTCTCTCGCATGTGGTCGTCGTAGCTTATAAAACTTATTCTTTTGATATGTATTGAGCTTTGGAATACTTTTAATGTAAAGATATTTTGCATTGAAAATTCACAACATAATCTGTATGACACAGAGACAACTTTTAGTTTATAACTTTTTTTCCAGAGGACTTAAGGTTAGTCAGATATAAAGCAATTCCTAAGAACGAGCATTTTTTTATTGGTTCCCTTGAAAAGTTCCTATTTTAGGCGTTTAGAATGGTGGTTTTTGACTGATTTTCAGTTTATATGAAATAAGTGATGTTGTAGTTAACATCACTTGAAGAGGCTTTTATGCTTTATTCATTCATAAATGCATGTTCCAGTGTGACTGAATAACTTGAAATAATGTTGTTCTTTCTTATGAGTTGGCGATAGTGGAACACTACCAGGAGCCAAACCACTAAAACCCCCAGGTACTTCATGGCATTCACTTTACTCTTATAGTCTCTATATATTTGGGCAAGCAGGTGCTTTTTCATTTGTAGAAAGATTTATTTTATTTATCTTACTGTATGCATTGGAGGTGGAGCCATTGCTGGACGTGGAGATACTCCGGGCACAATTGAAGGAGGATCTGGAAGTGTAGGTGGTGGTCCAGGTGGGGTTGGTGGTGGGCCAGGTGGAGTTGGTGGAGTTCCGGGAGGAGTTGGTGGAGTTCCAGGGGGAGTTGGTGGAGTTCCAAGAGGAGTTGGTGGTGGGCCAGGTGGAGTTGGTGGAGTTCCGGGTGGAGTTGGTGGAGTTCCAGGGGGAATTGGTGGAGTTCCGGGAGGAGTTGGTGGAGTTACAGGTGCAGTTGGAGGAGGTCCAGGAGGAACTGGGGGAGGAGTTAAACCCTCTAAAGGTGATTTGCTGTGAAAATCTTGATCTGTAAAATGTCTATTAGCTGTGTTTTTCTCTGTTTATAAAACAAGGACTGTATTACAATCAATGCGTTTCTTCTAGTTTATAGCAGTACAGGTGGAACTGGAGCTCTTGGAGTTGGAGTTGGAGGTGTAGGTGGAAAGGGTCCAGCTGGAGCGGGAGGAGTTGGACTTCTGCCTGGAGGTGGTGGTTTACTACCAGGAGGTGGAGCTTAATAAAGTGCACTTAAAATGTACAAAAGAATGTAATTAGCTTGTGCCTATGTATAAGGATTTGTAAATCTGTTATAGGTTATGGAGGAGCAGGAGGTTTAGGAGCTGGTGGGATCCAACCAGGGACTGGTAAAAAATGTTCTGATTTTTAAAAAAAACACATTCCTTATATTTTTAAGTACCAGTACTGACAACTATTGTTTTGCTGAGAACTGTGTATATAATTTTTTGCAGGCTTCAGGTTCCCCAGTGGGGCTGCAGTGGGCAGCAAACAAGGAAAAGGTACCAGAAAACGATTTGCTATTCCACAATTCTTATGATGAAAAAGGAATTTGGTTATATTTTACACACTGAACTGGAAAGACTGTTAAATAACTAATTTATCACTTTGATGAAAGTTTATGGGGCAGCAGGCACACTTGGTGGGCTTGGAGGCCCAGGCGGATATGGACCAGGACCCTTTGGCTATGGAGGTGGTCCAGGTAGTTATGGTGGTGGCCCAGGCAGTGCTGGTGGACTTGGAGGGTCTGGAATTGGTGGTAAGTTTCTGAAATGTTTTTTCTTCTGAAAATTTGACTACAGACACTTTTTTTTACATTTTAATATTTTATTTATTTATTTATTAAGGGCTTGGCTATGGTCCTGGTGGAGTAAAACCACCTAAAAGTACGTAAAACCCATCAAATCAACATTTTACTACTACAATAACCATTCCTTTGTAGGTTAGACAAAATTTATAATCACAATTTTTTATGAGGCTATGGAGGAGCTGGAACATTGGGTGGGGCTGGAAGAGGAGGCATTAGTGGAGGTCCTGGAGGACTTGGTGGTGGTCTAGGAGTAGGACCAGGAGGTGCTGGAGGCATTGGTGGTGGTCTAGGAGTTGGACCAGGAAGTATTGGAGGTCCTGGAGGAGTTGGAGGACTGGGTGAAGGTATCATGTACTTTAATATACATTAAACATAAGTTTGACAGTAGTGCAAAAAAAAAACTAATTGGAGGGGTTTTGTTAAATGTGAGCCAACATCATCACAATTAAAAGAACCAAAGACTTAAACTACTTCAGTCTGTGTGCATTGAATTTATTTAATACACGAGTTTCACAATTTGAGTTGAATTACTGAAATAAATGAACATTTCCACGACATTCCGAGTAAAACCACCTAAAAGTACGTAAAACCCATCAAATCAACATTTTACTACTACAATAACCATTCCTTTGCAGGTTAGACAAAATTTATAATCACAATTTTTTATGAGGCTATGGAGGAGCTGGAACATTGGGTGGGGCTGGAAGAGGAGGCATTAGTGGAGGTCCTGGAGGACTTGGTGGTGGTCTAGGAGTAGGACCAGGAGGTGCTGGAGGCATTGGTGGTGGTCTAGGAGTTGGACCAGGAGGTATTGGAGGTCCTGGAGGAGTTGGAGGACTGGGTGAAGGTATCATGTACTTTAATATACATTAAACATAAGTTTGACAGTAGTGCAAAAAAAAAAAAAGACATTGATGAATTTTTTTTTTAGGTGCCAGATATCCAGGTGGTGGCCTGGGAGCTGGAGCTGGGAAACCTGGGAAATCAGGTTCTTGTTTTATAAAATAATAATTTAATTGTGGCTTATTAATACAATGTCATTACATTAGCTTAGGGGTCTGAATATAATGATAAACCTACTAATTGGGCTCGGAAGATGGTAGAGGGAGAGCCCTTGTGAAAAATAAGTGTTAACTGTATTTAATGTGGACTTGCAGTGCTCTTCACGTCTTAAGTATATTTAAAAAAATTGACTTGCAGAAACAACAAATGTTCACCTTCATCATTACAAATGTGTAATTAGAAATATATTTAAATATGTGACATGCAAGTTTCAATAGAAATTACATTCAAGTATATTGTAGTTTACCATGAATACTTGTCAGGACAATAAAATGAAATTACATATAAAGATGTAATCAAGTCCTACATAAACCGGTCAAAAAAGCACTTTAAAGTTGCATTTAATATAAATGTAAAATATAATAATTTTTTATTTAATTATAAATATTATGTGATTAAGTGTCCAAAAACATTACATTAAGTTCGCACTTTAGTATATTCTTTTCAAGTGTGTTATTTTTCGTAATAAGTAGTTTTTAAAAGTAAAAAGCAAAGAGTTTTTCACAGGGGAGTATAAGTAGTAAATTTGCACAGAATCACTCACATCAGTTAATACCTCTGGCAGATACCTGGTGATCAGATATGGCTGTGGCAACATGAAATTTAAACACTACTGACATCTTTGCTATTATATGATTATAATGTTGACATATTCTTTGTATTGTAGGGTATGGAGGTTTGGGTGCAGCTGGAGGCATGGGAGGTGTTGGAAGCCCACTAGGAACCGGTGGAGGTAAAGTTACATTGTATTCAGCTTTGTCACTTAAGATTAATATGTTAATAAGGCAAATTCACTAAACTTATTGCATGTTTTTGTCAAATTCTTATTCTTGCCTCACCAAATGAATGAGCATACAGAATGTAAAATGTTGATGGATTATATTTACTTGCCTTTGTTTCAATGTCCTAAAGGCTTTGGCACAGGTGCACTGGGTGGTCAAGGCTATCAGCCAGGTGAGCTATTATATCCTTCCTCAGTTCTCCTTGTGCCTGTTGGAGAAATGGGCTTATCCACACCTTCCATTTTTCTCTCAGTTGAATTTATGAAATGCTTTGAAAGAGCAGATATCAGGATACATAATTGCATTGGATCTCTTCCTTTTTGCACATCCATTTAAAGTCTATGCAACCAAAACCAAAACTTTCACACATTAAAAAGTACATATAGACATTGTATAAGTAATTCATATGAATAGAGCAACTGAAACAACATTGTGTGTGTGTGTGTGTGTTTGAAGAGACACAATCACTTTATTTGATCAAGAGATTTTATTTTAGGCTTTTATTCACATATAAACAATGATCAACACACAATTAGAGCACATCAAACAAGGTCTGAGGCTTAGCTCAAACCTCATTAATTCTTGTGGAAGCTTGATCGTGCTTGCATGACACGCAAGAACAAACCTTATCGGTTCTAGTACATCAAGTTAGCACGTTTGAGCATTCAGTGGCCAAATCTGATGTGCTTTTTGTGTTTCATTTGTATTTTCAAAGATGTTGTGAACGACATGAGAAACTATGAAGAATTTTTATTTTGGGGTGAACTATCTCTCTTAAGTACTCTAGGTATTTAAATGAAAATAAAGACAGGGACAATTTTAAGTAATTTTCCATTACAGTTCTGAATGAATTACATGAATTTGTTTGATTGTTCTGTACACAACAAGGTTGCATACATATGGACATACAGGTGAATCTCAGTAAATTAGAATGTCATGGAAAAGTTCATTTATTTCAGTAATTCAACTCAAATTGTGAAACTTGTGTATTAAATAAATTGACAAATACATCCACATTATCCTTAAAAACATTCTGAATCAAACACTAGAGCAAAATTTAGGTGGTGTGTGATGGTTTACTGTACCAATGTGTTACAGTGATCAATGTAATTGGTTCAGTGTGATTAATGAAGAGTTGTGCTTATATTATATTGTATTGTAGGTTATGGTGGCAATGGTGCAGGGGGACCTGGAAGTGCTCCACTTACACCTCAGCAATGTTGTTACACCACACTCATTGTTAGCTAATATTTCAAATGCAGCAAATGATAAAATTAGATTTTTGTCTAGACCTGTACATTATCCACAACCAATCACAAGTATTTATTGCATGTACATGTGTGTTGTATGATTCTTTATAGCAAAAGCAGCCAAATATGCAGCTCTTCAAGGCTTTCTAGGCGCAGGAGGCTACAGAGGTACTTAAAGGAGACATATTATGCCCCTTTTCACAATATGTAATATAAGTCTCTGGTGTCCCCAGAATGTGTCTGTGAATTTTCAGCTCAAAATACTCCACAGATCAATTATTATAACATTTTGAAAATGCCTATTTTGAGTGGAAGCAGACACACGCTGTTTTTCGGGCCTGTCTCTTTAAATGCAAATGAGCTGCTGCTCCCCGCCTCCTTTTCCAGAATAGAGCTGGGCCTTTACAGCTTGTACCTGCTAAAAACATCATCTGTTTTGGTTCTGATTATCATGTTTATCGCTCTGAAATCATGCGTTTTAAACCATATGAGTTTAAACTTCTGATATACGGTTTTCTGAGCGCACACATCCGAAGCACACGGACAGAAAGCATCTGTCACAGCATGTGAGTACTAAACTAAGTTCTCATTCACACACAAGTTTACATTTAAAACACACGAGTTACAAAAAACTGTGGGTTATGTCTGTGAAGGTAAACTGCTGGGAAATAAATCGCATATTTATTTTACATCTGTGTGGCAGCAGCAATATACAGTAAATAAATCAATAAATCCACTGCTCTGTTGTCTCTCTGAGGCTGGGACTCTTAATAGTGTTCTGTGCTCGTCTGTGCAGCCAAAGACAGAAAAGTTAGCATGTTTTGCTCAAACTTTCGCCATGGCATTAGAGCTGGTACACCGTTGTCGCTTGCGAAATCAAAATGATGGTGCCGTGGGTGGAAATTTACAGATTAAGGTGTGGTAATATTATAATGAGATCCCTTGGCCACGTCACCAAGGGAGCGAAATCAGACTTGCTCGTTTTCTCAGACTGGCATTAGAGCTGGTACACCGTTGTCGCTTGCGAAATCAAAATGATGGTGCCGTGGGTGGAAATTTACAGATTAAGGTGTGGTAATATTATAATGAGATCCCTTGGCCACGTCACCAAGGGAGCGAAATCAGACTTGCTCGTTTTCTCAGACGCTTGCAGAAAAAGGTTTACCAAAACAAAGTTACTGGGTTAATCTTTTTCACGTTTCCTTGGTTGGTAGATGCACCGGGGACCTGATTATAGCACTTAAAACCTGGAAAAGTCCGATTTTCATGTCACCTTTAAGTAGATATAAATGCACTTCTCTCAATTTTTCTTTGGACCACACTAGGGGTTGAACGACTTCCGATTTTTTTGTCAACATTTATGTGATCAAAGTCGAGTCAACATCAACTAGTCGCTGATGATGTCATTAATGAACAAATAAGCCTGAAGCTTGAGCTGAGACTTCAATACCTTGTGCACAGATATGACACAGTGCTGCCCACATGGCTATTGCTCCTATAACAGCTAATTTTTATCTTTTTTTTTTGTATATTTCTCACAGATTACTGCTCGTTCTAAATCAGATACAGCTAAAGTAGCTGTCACGAATCCGGTTCATGAACTTTCCAATTCATTGACTCTCGCACTACACACTGTTGCACATCACCCCGGACTACATTTCCCATCATGCATTGCACTGATTGTACTCAGCACGAATTGCACACACCTGTTTACACTGATTGCACCCAGCTGTTTCATATCACTTCCTCACTATTTAACACTCACTCTGATCCCTTCCCTCTGCCGAGTATTGTT